GGTTTTGACACCCTTTCTTTGAAATGAGTGGTGGGGTTCCAGAGTTTGTCTCTGCTATTTCTTTCTTAACGGTCTTCCGAATTGCTTAGAACACTGTCAAGTAATCATGTATGCAGACGACAGTGTGACCTACCTTAGTCGGGAAAACGCTGCCAAGAATTCAACACCCTCTAAATGCCGACCTTGCCCATTTAGCTCAATGGTGTAACAAATACTCAAATACTATCCAACATTGAACACTCAAAAATTGAAGTTTTCATTGTTTGGTAACAATCGCAAATTGCAAACCTGACAAGGTATCAAGCTGGAAATAGCTATAGATGACGAAGAACTTGAAAATACAGATCTAATCAAATTTCTCGGTGTAGTCATCCACAAGAACATGACATGGCACGAGCACATGGAATCATTAATTACCAAGATAAATCAACGATTCGGCTTACTGAAACGAGTCAAACATCTATTACCATCAAAAACACGAATCACAAAGTGCAATTCCTCAGTAGTCTACTTTTTTACTATGTCGAAGACATCTGGGGAGAAAAGGTAACGCTACTACTATCGAAGATTTGCAAATAAAACAAAATAAAGCTGCAAAAGTTATCCTCCATTTGGCGAACTATGCCTCATCCGCCGACGTACTAAAATCTCTAAATTGCTCACAATGCTCCAACGGCGCCTTGTATATAGATACAGTGCCGCCTTTAATTGCATCCACGGCCTTGTGGACTATAGTTTTAATATTTTGAGAAATTCTGACCTCCATAGATATAATACAAGAAGAAAGAACGATTTCCGCCTCCCTCGTGTAGAAACGAATTATGGAAAACAGAGATTTTTATATGTAGATGCGCAAAAGAATAGAATCTCCTAGAAACTGTCTTTTAAAGAAATCGATTCCTTTCTCATTTTTAAGCATAGAGTGAAAAATCATGTATGTAGCTAATTTAGTGTTGAGATTTTATGCTATCATGTTTACGTACCTTGTGTATTACCTAGTTTTTATGTCTCTAATTTTTTTATCTATTTACGATGAATTTTATCTTAGTTATTTTATTTTAAAGGCCTATTTTCATCCGAGATCCTTTGCAGTCGTCTGTTTTTGTTTTGGAATCGCGCTATTGTTAAATGGCGAACTCTGATAGGCCGACTATTATAGTCACGTCGCCCGGTATTTTCCAAACAAGATCTGATGTGCGCGGAAAGTACGAGTTCCTCCTTTTAGTAATTATGGAAACAGACGAATCTATTGACTTGCAAGTACATGTGGGACTCAACACTTACGGGTCAAGAATCCATGCGAGGAGCGAAGAAGAGGAGATTGGAGAAGATGAAGAGGTACATATCTCAGGATCTCAAATAAAAATCAGTCAAATAATTATTCTCACCTCGAAAAAATCTCCCCAGAATCTCTAGTTCCATCGTAGAAACAATGCAGTAACATTTGTGCAAAAGCACTTTCTGTAGTCTTGCCGAAACCCATGGTTGTTTTCCTTGCCCTCCGTAAATCATACACAGATTCCCGAAGTCGAATAACCTTTGCCGAGCCGGGCAGACTCGGCCTTCCTCTTGACCGCTTCTTCGGCGGCATCAACTTTTCAAATGACGTTTTTTACCGTCATGCATGTAAGAATTAAAAACTATTTACTGATATGGATACTACGATAGTTTGTTGTTTGCAAATGATTCAAGATGGATCTTTGAAAACCCTAATTAGTAAGATGGAAGAAGATATAAAAGCGATTCCGCAACTACGAGGAAAATGGCGTATTTTTCATACATGAAAAATGATCCGGGCGCGCAAGGCATCTCGGTTGGAAATAGGCCTTTAACAGGACCTCACACAATACCACTCTCAGCGCCCTGTATAAAGACGATCATTATAATTATTATTAGTGGCTCACGGGTCGACCCTGTCGCAAAGCAATGGAGAAAATCATTTGCAGAAATCCTTACTTTCAGAATCACCCACGTACCTCACGGTCATATAACTCGATTTATTTCATATGCTACCAAAATAATAATTCATTTATATGCTACCAAAATAATAATGATTTGAAACCTAATTGTTTCAAATGGAGTTTATTAACCAAAATGGTAATGAGACATACATTTCTGTGATAAAAGGAAGGAATGAATTAATGAGTTGATAGATGAACAAGTCAATCAAACAATTAATAAATCGATCAATCGATCAATCACTCGTTCAATACAACTAATACAGAGGCATGTATACATTTGTAATATAGACACAGACGACGTTAAGATTGTTATATTGTACCTTTTGTTGGTTGATTAAATGTAGATCCGTTTTGCTGTGCAGAAGTTGTTGCAACACTTGGTTGGGTGGAGCGTTTTGTCGCCCTCGTTGTTGATTCTTTGAAACGAGTAGTAATCGGTGTTAGTGGCTCATGAGTCGACCCTGACGCAAAGCAGTAGATGAAAAAATAAATTTAAGAAATCCTTTAATTCAGAAACACCCCAAAATCTGTTAAATGCCTTGACTCATTTTACTAAAACGCGTTAATAATACCAACAAACGGAACCCTAGTTCTTTGATTTTAACTTTCTTCATCTCGATTTTAACTGTACGAATTGGCTTTCCATATAATATCGTTTTTACCAAGGTGGTATATCAAACTTTACTCGTTTTTTGGGACTGTCTTTGCTTTACTGATGGCGGACCAGTCTCCAGTAACTATTCGTTTTTCAGTGAGTCAAAGACAGACAACTGGCAGAGAACTGAGTTAAAAGGTAAAGGTATGTGCATTCAGAGCTACTGTATAATTTTGATTCGGATTCGAAAGGATTGCGAGAGTGATCTTAGAGTTTGGTCATGAAGCTGAAACGGATTTTATTTTATTTGCCCTCGAAGTACGATATAATGTAATAACCGTTTACGATTTCATCATTAAGTAGTCTTTTAACTCACTTCTACGTCATTCTTATATGATAAATTTTCCTAAAAAGTGAGTTATTTTGAATGTCGCTGCATATTTGCAGCGCTGCACTTAAAGTATGGTCACATGCGTGGAACTGACTATACACGTCGCGGTGCGACTGAGTCTTCGCACTTTCTAAACTCTTTCTAACTAAGAAGAAAACAAATCTGTTTTCAAATCCATTCCTGTTTTCAAAGTTACTTCAACTAACTAATTTCATTATTCGAAAGACTTTTTACTTATGAAGAAGGCCAAGGGGAACAGGGCACGCAATGGCTAAAAGACCGTTACTGCTTGTACCAAAAAAATTAGTCTACGGAAAACATGATATGTGTCACCTAGACCCCGTTGTTCAAAGGATAGATAACGCCATTCAAAAGAAGCGCTAACTAAACTTATTGCGCTGTTTACCGGATAGAGACTTAACAAGTGAGTTGAGGTTTGATTGGATAGTAGTCTTTCTGGTTTCCATCATGAAAACTGATGGGAGAATGGTGGCTGGCCTCACACATATTTTTACTTCGTCGTTCTTCAGCACATGTATGAGTTTCTTCTGGTTAAGTCGCTCATAAACAAGGTAGCTTCATAACCATTTTTTCTCTTGTTGAATCGCGTGACAGTGGCTCATTCTGATGACGTCATCAAGTGACTTGCACTGAAATACAACAAGCTTCCGAAACAACGAGGCTTATTAAATGAGGCCATGGGGAAAAAAAACAAAAGGATTCGGCAGATCTGTTTATAAATTTTTTGCCACAAAATACAAATGGTGAGATTACGCATTTGGGGTTACTGTTCCTATTGCCATATGCCCAGTTCTTGTGACATATTGCATAGATGTAACTTCCTAAAGAAGTCATCTAATGATTCTGCATGTGCTGCAATAAAGATTCAATTACGCGAGGCTAGTCTGCCTATCTAGAGTAAGGTATAGCATGTTTAAATTATCATAGAGCTCTTTTTAATTTAGAAACTAAAAAGAATAGCTCATTAGGTAAACAACCGTACAAAATAATGCCGGGTGTATCATATGCTCTCTGTATTTACAATCGCCCTATAATAAGCTTTATGTTTTTTTTTTTTTTAACCAACCTTTTTCAATGATATATTCGGTAGACCAATCACATACATATTCTGATAGTTTCCACTCCCTTAGGGGAACCTAACAACCAAAACTAAGAGAATTGCACACAAATGTACAAAAAAAAGTGGAGGCTCTTCTCGGTATAATGTAACCTTAAAAATATGAATGCTATTAAATAAATAAATAAATAAATAAATAAATAAATGAATGATTTAACAATGGACATCCACTGGGTGGCTATTCTTGTCCACTGTTCCAGATCGAATTGGAATTTGGAATGTTGGTTTTTGCGTATTATACTGTTGAAAGGCTCAAGGAAGTTGTGGCAAAGCTGGAAGGAGAAATTCGAATGGGCTATGTGGAACGAATTTTAATTCGTGATTAAAATTACAAGCTACCAAGAGGTCATCAAAATAGATCCTCTTCAGACGTCGACCTCTGACGAGAAGTGAGCTGTAGACTAGGGATATATTGAGAAGATCAAATTTTCAACGAGAGTAAATCCCACCTTTTGAAAGCATCTCATGCCGATCTTTAGTTTTTGCATTCGTCATTTTTGTCCTGAGTGAGGTGGCCATTGTCGTTGTTGTTAAAAGTTGGCGGGTTGACGCAGGTCCTGTCGTTTCCTCCATGAAAATATCTTCTCTCTGTGAAACTGTGGAACAATCTGGGAGGAAAATATGAATATCAGTGACTTGCTTCAAAATCAAAGTCCGACTAAAACTTTTGTTATCATTTTGATATTTATTTCGATTACCATAAATTGACATAATCATTGACTTACTGACTTGCTTTTCACATATATACCCTGGATTGTCATGATAGCCATCTTTTTTTTGACACTCTATGTTGTTATACTTTCCATTGCGCCACATCTCTACGCAAAGTTCTTTATTATGATGGTTGGGTTCTCCATCAGACCATCGCCATGTTCCAGATAACGTCTCGTTGACGCAGGCTATGCTCTTATTCAACCAGCACCCCGTGTGAGATCCGTTAACACTTTCCAATCCAATAAACCAACGTTGCTTTTTCTTTATCGCGGTCAAGTTCTTGATAAAGTGCCATTCTTTTTCGGTTTCCATAGAGATAAGTGAACCATTCTCGAGTTCGCCACATATTCTCATGGAGTCCATCCAGTCACCTATGTTGTCATGGAAAGTATACTCGGAGCAGATCAAAACTCCTGCTCCATGAGAAGTCGAGAGATCAAGAAGACAGAATAAAAGTAAGGAATAATGATCCCTTTATTTATTTTTAATCGTACCCGTAAATTTTCAGAATAAGATCTTTACGTAAAAAAATATAGGTCATTCACCCGCCGGGGGTTCGGTATTAGGAAAAAAACTGTGCTCGAGGTCTAGCTAAGTACCTCTCGAGACTGTGGGCTGAGGGTGGTACTCAAGAGAAAGGGCACAGTTTTTCTCAACACGGACCAACTTATGCAGATGAATAAAATTTTAATTTTTTTCTAACACTTAACGAAATACTTGTCAAAAGAACCCGAATGATGTAGGGCTACAATTACAAGTTTAATTATGGGAAAATCCTTCCTAAACTTTGAGATTGTTTTTTGCGAGTAAGGTAAAAGCATGAACATAGGTCAGTCAAACTAAAGAGAGAGGCTTCACCGAACCATTTTTGTTTACTTAACTGTAGAGGTAACTTTAAATTCTTTCAAGCATTCTTTGAACATTTTTAGTAAGTATCTGTCACGATCTAACACCTGTTACATAGAGAGGAAAAAAAGTGCATGTGCACATTTTAATGAAAAACAGTGCTGGCAAACACACATGAGCAAGTGACTATCCGACGATCCCTCTCAAAAGGACACCCAGAGATCTTATGGATAGTATTATTCATTTCCAACGATTATAAATTTTCGAAGACTTATGTCTGTTGAGTTTTAAATGTCACGGAAAGTCGAGTTGTAAGAGAATTGCAATGTACGTTTGTAGTCGGAGAGTCTACTTGTTTGGTGTTCTGTTCTTAATTGTGATTCTTCACTCCGAAAACTTGCGTCAAATGAAACGCCTTTTATTTAAACACGAGGCTGATTTAAAGAGGCTTTCACTCATCGAACTCCTGTGGTTTCTTCTGCGAAATTTACGATAGAATTGTGCAAATTAAAGGGAGTTGCAAAGAATAAGTGATTGAGTATTCATAAAAGTTCTTGAAGCTTGGCTCAGCGTTTTAAATGAATAATTTCGATTTAGTGAATGAAAGTCACATTGATTAACGTAATTAACTGCAAACACCACTTGCTTTAATTTTCTGAGTTACCTTTTGCAAAGGATTATCTCGGGTCAATATATTTAAGAAAAGGTTTCCCTGAAAAGCCAAACTGACTCGAGAGAAAGAGGGAAGAGAGAATTATGTTCTGTGTGGACTAAAGGTCGTGACCGAAGTATTTGCATATAAATACTTCCCAGCCGGCAAGGCAACATGCATCTATAAAAAATTACAACAAAGCTAGAGATGTTCTACAAAGCGACTGAACACAAAACGACTATGGGCCGCTGAAAGCGGGCCGGATGGGAGAATACTGCTCGCTCTCGCAACTAATCAGATTTCATTATTGTACACGTGCTATACCGCCCGCTCACAAACTAGGAAAAAAGGAAAACTGAGGGCTGGGATTCACCCTCTCTTTTTCTTTAAGTAAACATTATTTAGACAGGGTAGTTCATTCCGCTTGAATGCTGGTATCTTTAGTGGCACTGTATCAAAATAACAACTTCCTTCCCAGGGCCTTTTCCCTTAGTTTGGGGTGGGGCGGGAAAAGGCCCTGGCATCGGCCTTGGCATCGGCCGGTCACATTATCTCAAAACACCCAAATATCTTGGGTGCACCAAGTTATCATATGTTAAACGAAACATTCAAGGTGTTGGGCCCTTCGGGTTAACCAGAGTTTTTGTCACCGCTTCGCCGAGTCGGATTCCTTTGAACAACGTTTAAATTTGAAACCTCTTCAAAGGAAGTGTTTTGAATATATGCTCTGAGGGCATAATGTTATTGGAGTCTTACCAAATCCCATACGACGCGCTTGTGAGAGAAAAAAAATATGAAGGCGATAATGCGACACGACCGCAAAAGTCACATGGGGAGTCCGTGTTGGTCTGTATTTACCCTTAATTCTTATATATATATGTAAACAGTTACATCGATGTCTGCCGTTGGCAACTCTTTGGTGAAATACCTTACAATGGGGAAAGTATTCGGCCGACATAGTAAATAACTATGAAATATAGCCGAATCAAGGAACGAGATTTCTTATCTTATACACTCGCAAACAAAAGAGATGGAAAATATTGCAGTGCATTTCCCCCCCTGGTTGGGACGGGTGGGTTAATGCTGTAAAGCGCTTAGGAGCATCTTCCTATGAACCATGCGCTATATAAATAATAAATTTTAATTCTAATTGTAATTGAAGCGGTGAAGGTTAAAGTTGAACGCATCGGCATACTCTCCATTGATTGAGCTGTCCTCATAAACTGTTCCATCTTGTTTGCGAATGTAACGGAACCCTAACATAAGAACTTTGATCTCGTATTATCCTCAGAAATTTTTTTGCCACAGGTTTTAAATACCTCTGCATACAGATCTCTTGATGAACCAGCTTTGGTAAATGTTTTAAACATATGAAAACTCTCGTGAGAATCACCGCAGTTTCTGCAAACTTGTTTTCTAAGAGAAATCTTTGTCGGAGTAGGCATACTTTCCGTCATTTTGACTTCGGAATCATGCCTACATCATTTTCAAATGGCAACGTTTCCATAAATTATTGAATTCAAACAAACAATCAAAATGCCAATGTGATTGACCAATGCCAGGGCCTCCACCCCCAGCTAAGGGAAAAAGCCCTGGGAACGAGATTGTCAAAATAAAGCATGATTACAACATGTCAAATCGAAAATTACGTTGAAAATATAATTTCGTTCAGGTAACTAGACAAGAATACTAAAAATTAGAACAACCTTGTTTTGCACGGCGACAGAACGTCTGTACGTCTTCAGTTTGGGCCCTAGCAGGGGGTGCACGGCCTACGACCGCAGTGCCTTATTTTCACACATTTCCGACATGGAAGTCTTACTATATGGTTCCAGGCATTCAACGAAGAAAGTTGGGACTGATATTGGCCGGGGAGCTGATTTAAAATCGTCTTGATATCCTTCACAGGTGAAAAAACTTGATACCTGGCTCCTGATTGGACGTATCGTTTTCGTCGCATGTGAAAGAAGCGATATGAGCCATTCAATTGGCTCTCGGCTTGTTCGACCAACTTGCAAGTTTTTTGCGCCTTTTCAGTGTTTAGATCATAGTATGTACATAATGAAAGACTTTGTCTAATCATGCGTATATGAGTCAGGTTATATTCGGCAAGAAAATTGGGTACAATTTTCAATTAAATGAAATCCACATGGACTTTCATTTGCAAATACGCTGGGTAACTCGATTATTGTTGTTTAGCATCAGAAGATGGTTACATTTCATGATCATGGCTGATTTGTAGAGTCATTATCAATTAAAGACTCATATCGTTTTCAAACCTTTTTTCCAACACATTTGTCGAGTCTGTTCACTTTTTCGTGAATGATGTAGACAATCCTAATGTACTTTCAAAGGAAAGCAGTGTATCATCCGAAGCGGAATCCCCGCAAGAAATGTATGTTTATGGTGTAAATGTTTGATGGCCTTCAGCTTATGTTTTACAACGAAAATATATGAAACCATATACTGATGAAATGTTAATGTCATAGCACAGGCGCTACTCGCTGTTTAGTGGTTCTCTCAGCCAGCTATTCAATTCGCTTTGATTTATATCCATTTATCAAGCAATTTATCTAATCACAGATGTATAGTTCAGGTTGTATTTGCGCTACAAACTCCAATTAAAAGAAATCCACTGTTACTTTCATTTAAAGAGAGGCTGGGTAACTCGGCTATGGTTCTTTAGTATCATGGGACGTTTACATTTTATCATCATAAATATGGAAAATGCCAAATTAATTTTTTGAAGAACTCGATCATATGATTTACCATAAAGTCTCACACTTTTAAATACTTTGAACATTATCGCCTAATTTACTGTATGTTGGTTCTATAAGAGGCGAGAATGTTAAACGTTTTCCTCTAGGTTTTTACTAGCTGATTTGTAGAGCCATCATCAATCTTTGATTCACACCTTTTTCAAAAATTTTTGCCAATCGATCCATTGACCCTGCTCGCTTTTTCTTGCCAAATGTATACAAACCTAATGTACTTTCAAAGGAAAGCATCGAAACAGTCGGAGCATAATTCCCCCAAGAAAAAATCATGCACACTGTACATATTTGATCATGCCTTCAGCTTCTATTTTGCAACGCTGGATTCAAAGTATGATTAAATACTTTGAGAGAAATGTGCTTACCATTGGTGGCTTGGTCTTCAGTGGTAATAGTAACATCAAAAGCAAACAGCAATAAAGTGCAAACAACGGTCCTCATAATATCCCGTAGATTGAAAATTAAAGCAGATAGGGTCCAAAATGCTTAGTGAGGTTGAAATCGAAATTTTATAAGGTGTTTTAGGAACAGAGCTGACGAAAGTTTTTTTCGGTTTGTTTGTTTGCTTGTTTTTATTCCGATGTGACAATACTTACTGGATTTATTTTTAGGAACTATGCGATTCATAGTTTTAAAACGACACTTACAACACAAAAATAAATGAAAAACCATCTTACATAACTGGTTGCTTTACCCTGTAAAACTAAGATATATTTTTTTGAAGGCGCCAGGACTGTTATTATTATTATTATTATTATTGTTATTATAATTTTTTTCTGTGCAAATTTTAGCATGATGCGTAAGAATCAAATAGGTATAAGTTATGGTAATGAACCTTATGCCATAGAAAAATTTCTTCTTTAAAGTTCAGATTGGAGGAGTACCACACTGACAATAAACACTAAAAATTTTATCAACGGAGTGCAGTGTCTAGTACTTGTGTTCTCTGTCCTAATACTTAAAAACAGTCTCCAATAGAGAGGGATGAGACGCTTTAAATGAAGAAATAATTGGCACGTTTATGCTTCAATGTACTATTTTGGCTTGGCTGAAATTTTGTTTTTCTTTGGGTAAAGTAATTTGCGGAAGCTTTTGTCTGCATACCCATCGAGACGATGGATAGGCTATAACACTCAAAGAACTTCCCTAAGGAACTTATTTCTTTTTTTAAGTCTCGTATCCTTTTAAAATCAAATAAAGGTCTTAGATACGTTTAAACTGTAATAACGAAAAATGGGGCTATTTCAAAGGTAAATGAAACAGCACAGGAGTTCCTCGCCCGTTTATTGGTTCCCTCGCTTTGATTGATATTGGTCTTTTGTCTAAAGCACTTTACAGGGGCGATAGATAGGCTATGATATTCAAAGAAGTTCCCGAAGCAGGATTTTTTTAAAGTTTCGTATCCATTTAAATCGATGTGGTCTTGAATACGTTTACGTCGTAATAACCAAGGATGGAGCCATATTAAGCGTAAATGAAACAGCACAAGCTTTGTAATTACTCGCCCGTTTATTGCAATTGCGTCCCTGAGCCACTTATTGAATTTACTTTGATTGATGTTACTATAGAGAGCACTTTATCGAATCACGCGTTTAAAGGTCTGTTTATATTCATCAAGAAAGCTAATACAAACTTCAGTTACAAGAAATCCACAAATAATTTCGTTTGTAAAGAGGGTGGGTTGCTAGGTATATATTATGGAGCGTTTGTTTTTCGTGATCATAAATATGGACAAATAACAAGTTAAATTTTTTTTAAGAACTCGATCATATGATAAACCATCATCCCTCTCGTTCTTGAGTAATTTTATTATCATCACCTAATTTACTCTGCGCTGGTTTTACACGTATTAGTAGCGAGAATGAGAGACAGTTTTTTCTTGCCAAGTGTATACAAAGCTTTCATAGGAAAGCACTGAAACTGTCGGAGCGGAATCCTCGTGAGAAAGATACGCTTACACTGTACATGTTGTCTGGCCTTCAGTTTATATTTAACAAGGATAAATTCAAAGTTTGATAAAGTACTTAGGAAGAGATGTGCCTACCATCAGTGACTCGATCTTCAGTGGTAGTAGTAACACCAAAAGCAAAAAGCAAAAAAGTGGAAACAGCGGTCCTCATAATATCCCGTAGATTCCAATTCATTGCACTGAGGTGTGGTCGAAAATGATCATTGAGGTTGAAAGCGAAATTTTATAAGGTGTTTAAGGAACAGAGCTGACCGAAGTTTGTTTATTATTTTTTTTGGTTGCTTGTCTGTTTGTTTGTTTGTTTATTTGTCTTTTCCGATTTATTTTTAGGTATTATGCAATAACATTGACAACACAAAACAAACGAAAACCCGCCGTCAATCGGTTCCTTCTGTTGTTACCATGTTATACTGGGTTATTCTACTTTTAAAGAGCCACGTTGTTTTTCTCTTATTTTTTTTCCATTTAACTTGGTAAAAATTGTAGTTTGAAGCGAAGGAATCAGCAATCATGGTAATGAACGTATGCTCGTGGACTAGTTTCAAAGTCCGAATAGGAGTACCTCACTGATTATAAACACTAATATTTGGCCTTCATGGTGTCCAGAAATTTGTGTTTTCTATCATCACTTTGAAAAAAAGGTCTCCAATGGATAAAGATAATAAAGTACAAATAAAAATTAAGAATTAATGCAGCAGTGGGCTAATTTGGCTGGAAGCACGCTGTTCAGACGATTCCCCTGAAGCTTTGTTTTGAATTTCGTGTTCATTTAAACCAACGTGATCTGCTTGAATACGTTTAAAGGCTCTAATAAAGAAGAAAGAAACTATATATGAAA